TGGGAATTTAAGGCGGTACATCAATATTTTTTTTATTTTCTGGAGTCAAAATTATTTTTTTTCTTCAAAAAGGAATTGCCAATGGCGACACTATCAGACAAACAAGATCTTGAAGGTCACAGTTTGTAAGTATTAGAATTAAAAAGAATGAAAACAGGCTTGGTAGAATAAGGCGAAATCTGGTTCAATTATATTTTGGTTGCTTGAGGAGTCAGCCCTATTCTCAGAATGGAGGAGCATTTATCAACCTTCAGAAAAGACAAGAATAAGGAAGCACAGCTAAGGGTTAGTTTGTAATGAGACAGATAGGTAATGCAAGCAACTGTGAAGGGTGGTACGGTATCAACAGATCACAAAGAACGCTGCAAAATTCAGCTTCATATTTTATGTATTGATGGAAAAACTAAAATTAAATTTGCATGTTACATATTTTTTAAAAAGATTTGGTATTCTGGGTGGAAACATTCAAGTTATAAGAGCTGGAAGTGTGAAAAAACTTTTTGGGAAGCTGATCAATGCTTTTTTTTACCTTTATGATCGTTACGGTTTTCAATGCGCATATAATTTTAGACTGAAGTTTTTCAGACAATTTTTTTATAAGATATTAGTTTAAAATTTCCAAAGCTTCAAAATTAATCTGGTTCGATTATTGCAGCTAACTTCAAAATGCTTCTGGTATTGTTTGGTACAGCTGGAAAGAAGTACGAAAGTCAATGTATGGTGATAGAAGGCTTCAACTACTAATCGTTACAAGAAAGCTTTTAATATCAACAATTATTCGGCGACAGAAAGTAGTGCCATTAAACCGGGGGTTTTCAAAAATTCAGTTTTATAAAAGCCAAAAGTTTCAAGCTTTATGGGTTTGAGAATATCTTCTTGAAACCGGTGTTGGAGAATTTAATAAAGAGAGTAAAATATTTTTCCTGCACACTGTGATTGTTGAATCAGTTAGCATTGCAGCTAAAACGAATATCTGCCATTATTTTTTTATTGAAACAGTTTCTAGGGTAGTAATAAAACCTAGTTTTTTAAGGACCTTTGTTTTCCAACAAGGGAGATAATGCTCCTGAGGTTTTAGATGGTTGTTGCAGAGTTAATCTGGTGGACGTCAGATTTTATTAGCCAGGGAATGAGGCGGTGTCGAAATGCATAAGATACTTAAGCAGAAAGGTGGTTTGCTTGATGCAGCTGACAGCATAGGAGCGGTTTACGGAGATTCTGTAAAAGTTATAAATTATAGTACAAGTTTAAGTCAAAAAGATACGCGTATGAAAGACAGACAAGTTAATTTGTTGGAGCAGTGTTTCTCAATTTTTTTTTTTATTCTGTCACAATGGTTTAGAAAAAATTTTATTATTGCCTTTCTAGCAGAACGCCTGTTCTGAAAAACTGTGTTAGATGGCGGTAGTAAAGTTTTTTTATGGAAAGGGGCGGTAGATCGTGAACGATTTTCTAGTCGTCGTAACGATTCAAGAAATATGTCAATTAAGTTAGCCGGTAAAAAGCCACGTTGATGTGAGATATGAAGGTCATTTGGAGTTTGTTTTTTAAAGCAGTTTCAAGTTTGATGGGAGGAATAAATTTTGGCTGTGGGTTTGGCCACTTCGACGTAAAGAAACATCATTCACAAGAATTAGTATCTTGCAAGATTTATGCGTTGTGAGATATTTTAGTAAGCTACAAATGAATGGATTGATATTTCTCAGATTCGGCTGAAAAGTAACAGTTTACAAAGATTATTGTGAGGTTATAGGGAGAAGGAGCTTTTTGACATCTGCGACGGTAAAGCATTGGCTATAAAAAGATTTTTATTCTTTGATTGTAGCCAGTATTAGGCTATCTGGTCAAAGTTAACGCTAATAGCTCAGTTTTTAATAAATGTACCATTTGGTAAAAAGTTGAGGATTTTTATGCAATATATTTTTCTTTCGCCGATATGTAAAAGAACGTAAATTGGAAAATTTTTTTGCGTGAATTGATCTTAAATTTGTTTTAATCTTTATTTTGTTTTGGAAGATATTTCTACTGTATTTTTTGTAGGAAACAGCATTAAGATGGCCTAAGTTGCGTTCCTTTTTGAATGGTAATTTCTGTTTTTTATAAAGTTCTGTTCTTTGCCTACAAATGATTCCAATGATTTTTTTTTTTTGAACTTTTTTTTAGCAGCATTTTCGTTGCACAGTATAGCCACTATCGTTTGGTATTATGCCAAGATTTTTGTATAAAAAATTTGAAGTTTTTATTTGTATTACGTGTTACTTTAGACTAGGAATTCTTTAGGCATCATACAATAAATTGCAACTGATAATAGGATGAAAGAGATAGGAAAAACAATGTGCAGAAGACAAAAGAGAAGTTTTTATCATTTTCTTTTTAAAATTGACTAAAAAGGTGTTTAAGTTTTGTAAAAAATTTGTGATTTGAAAAGGAAACACTACGAGTTTTATCATGTACTCACATGTTTTTGTAAATAGTTTTTTTTAATTTTAAAAAAGCCTAATTATAAGCAGTAGATAGTTATTTTGTGCCTATAACTTGAGTATACGATGAAGGCCTGAATTTAAGGTAGTGCAGAAGAATTTGGATTCCTCTAGAGAATGGTTCGCTGAGTTTTGCAGCTGGACAGTGAAATTATATCAGAAGATTTTTTCTGTGTATTAAGAAAGGTAAAAAGGATCACCTGACTAATTTATACAGTTATCAAGTCATATTTAGCAGCAGCGGAGGGATGAACTGTATGATTGCAAAATTTTAAGTTTTGTGAGTCATCAGTTTCTTAAAGTCGTTCAAAAAGTAAAAATTTCTTAGATTTGGTAAGTTCATTGAATCATTGAAATTTTATTGAAAAAAAAAGTTTATTGAAATTTTATATGATTTAGCTCCTAAAGAAGCTCAGAAAAATTAGAACTTTCTTCTAAAAAATCATGGCTAAATTGTAGAAATAGATGAGTGCCGTAAGTATAAGAAAATTGTAGGTCTTTTAGAGTCAAATTCATTAGAAACAGAATTTTATATTTTTTTTCAAAAATACCTAACTACAGTACAGTTTAGAAATGAAAGTTAAAAAAATTACCGCAGAAGAATTAGTTTTAATTATGGATAAGATGCAAAAAAGGAAGTGGATAAAAATTGAGGGAAGAAGATATAAGGAAGTTTATGTCTCTTTTGCCTGTTGTCTTGTCTTTAATTTAAAAGTGATGCAAAAGATTTTTTGATATTCTTTCTATTTCATGAACGAAGACGAAAAAAAAAGCTATTTTGATAAAGCAGACAGTGTTTTACAGATATGCTGAGCTTTAAATTTCATTTGGATTTTAGCCTTTTTTTTTCTTTATGAAGTATGGAACACCTTTGCAGAAAAACGAATGTTTTAAGGATAATTTTTAATTTTAAACATGAACGTTTTACGACAATTTCAGCGATACTACTCTAATAGCTGCTGTTCAGTCGTATTCATCAGCTGAATTTATGGATACAGATTTCATTGTAACATTCAGTTGTATAAAGCTGTGTTACCTTTTAAAGAGGTGGAGGTTGCACTTCTCGGGGTACTGAAGCTGCGTAGTCGCTAGGGTCATTATCCCATCCTGAAACTTTTTGGCGTTTTCCCTCCGAAGTTTGCCTGCTACTTAGCTTCTGCGTTACTTCATCAATTTGTGACGGAAACAGAAAACGTTCTAGCATATAATAATTTTTTAACACGTCGTTGAAATCTAAACAGATAAGCAGATTGTGTAATGGGCACGTGGAGTTTCATAGAGGTTAGAAAATTTAGCGAAAAAGATGTGTGGATTTCAACTGACGTATTATGGTTGACTTATAATCGACAAGTTTTTTGATTGATATGGAGGAAACTCTAATGTAATCTATGCCGTTGTCAACTTTCAAGAAACAAAGCTTTAAAATGCTTAATTCACTGTTTATTATTGCTAGTGGTTTCTTTTTAAAGCAAGGTAACTTATATTTTATAATTTCGTTTTTCTGCAGTTACACAATAGCTTCTCGCCGAGCACATCAAGTTTCTCCAAAGTTATTTTATAGTTTTTGGCGGTAAATGGTTACTCCGGTCTTCTCATTTGATAATTTTTCGCTACATTAAAAATGTTAAAGAAATTTTAAAAAAAAGTTTTTTTCTTTCAATATGTAAGATGACACTGAAACAGCATTTTAGTTGAAAAAGTTTAAGCTTAGTAATTCAAAACCAGAGTTGTCTGCTTATGAAACCGTCTTGGATACGATGATCTAATGTAGGAGTAAAGAAATAGTGGAAATAGATGATTCGTTATGACAACAGGTTGTAATTTGGGAACTAACCGTCAAATGTATCCTGTGCTGGAGCGTAACTCTGTTTTTTAAGCTCTTTCATATTTCCATTGCCCACATGTTTGTCTTTGGTCGGTGCAAACTTTCTTAGATCCACATCAAAAGTTAACACTGTCGCCGGTACAACAACATAAATTAGTATTACCAGTCGCATAGAGACAAGTTTTGAATTCGGCCTAAAAAAGTAGGAAAAACATTGAAAAATATTATTGCTGCAAATTTTCTAGATAAGACGTTATCTTCTATGTAGCTGGTTTATTTCTGGTATGCAAGAAAAATTGAGTCCAAAAGTTAAGAAATTCAAAATTATTTCCTTGTTGTAGTATATAAAATAAAAGTTATGGATTAATTAGTTGGTAAAAAATAACAGAATCACATTGTACTACGATATTGCTGTCAAACACTTGAAAAATGCTGAAAATACAGTATTGGAGGAGCAACAGAAAAATGCAGAAGTAATGAGATAAGTAATTTTCAACAACAAATTGTTAAAAATTACTTATTACTTCTGCAAATAATTGTTAAATGATTGTTGTGTTGCCGTTAAATTGTGCCGAACAATAGCGGATTAAAAAGGACGAGAATATGAGGGAAATTGGCTATGCTGAGTTCTGAAGCGTTGGATAATATGTCTGTCGTCAGGATGAAAACAAATGAATGATTCAATGACGTCTCGATTAGGTGGTAATCGTTCGTTTAAGTTTGAATGTTGAAGTCGACTGTTGCAGTCAGAATAAAAAAAAAAAACATCTTCAACAACATTCTGACACAAACAGAAATGTCAAACAAAAAAAAAAAAAAATTAGCTCAAGATTCGATGAAGCGGAGAAGACTTTAGCGTTATGGGCAAAAAAAAAAAAAAAAGAAAAAAAAAAAAGAAAGTGGAAAATTAACATCTTATAGGCATACTAAAAAAAAAATTTTTTTTTTTTCTGACTTTCTTCTAGGTTTAACTTCAAAGCTGAAAAATTGTTGATCAGTTTTGATTGATACTTTTGTTTTTTTTTTTCTTGCTTTTTTTTTGTTGGCAACCAAAAAGAAACTTTTTATTGTTTTGATTGGCAACATATAATTTTGGTTTATCTGATTCAAGTTTTAAAAGCTAAACAAACAAACAAAAAAAAAAAAAAAAAATGTGAACAAAAAATGGCAAAAA